ACGATTTACTACCAACTTTCGTTGACCTGACAAATAGGATCGCGGGTGGTAAAATATTTTCAACGATAGATTTAAGAGATGCATTTTTACAATTCGGAGTTAGTCCAGAATGTAGAGACCTTTTAGTAATTTCGACTCATGTCGGTTATTACCGATATCAAAGAATTCCTTTTGGGTTGACTAGCGTTCCGATAATATTTCAACGTTTTATGCAAAACCTATTAAAGAAAATTCCTATGGTTAGTGTATTTTTAGACGATGTAATTATTGCAGGCGAGAATAATTTTGATCATATAGTTAATCTAGAAGAAGTATTAAGAAGATTTGATAAGGCTCGACTGACAACTACGACCGATAAAATTAAAATTGGAGAAAAATCAGTTACTTATTTAGGTCATGTTATTGATGAATTCGGAATTCACCCGACCGAAGATAAGATTAATGCTATAAAAAATTGTAAAACACCATCTAATGTTAAAGAATTAAGTTCGTTTTGGGAATGGTAAATTATCATGAATCGTTTATTAAAAATTTACATTCTATTTGTGCGCCTTTACACCGACTAACGAGTAAAAATGTGAGTTGGTTTTGGTCAGCTAAAGAAGATGAAATATTTAATGTAGTTAAAAAAATATTACCAAAAGAAGATACAATAATTCCTTATTCAGCCGATATTCCTGTCGTAATTTCTTGTGACGCTTCCGAAGATGGTCTGGGAGCTGTTATTGCACACCGATTTCTTACTGGCCAGGAGAAACCGATTGCTAATCGAGGACACTTTCAGCAGCTGAAAAGAATTACGCCACTATTGATCGGGAGACTTCGCCGATCATGTTCGATATCGAGAAGTTTCATCAGTACATTTATGGAAGACATTTTATTTTGGTTACTGATCATAAACCTTTAAAATATATCTTGGTGATAAAAGAGACCTTAATAAGATAACAAATAACCGTTTAAAACGGTGGGTCACGAAGCTTTTAAATTACGACTATGAGATAATTCATAGGCTGGGTAATCAAAACAAATGCGCCGACGCTCTGTCCCGTTTGGGGGTAGAGAGAGAAAAAATGAAGAAGTTAAAAAAAAATTTGAAAATGAAATTAGAGAAGTAAGGATCAATTTAATTGAAGATTTATCGTTCACTCGAAGTAAAGTTATTAGTGAAACGATCAATGATATAAATCTAAAAGAGATTGCTAAATTAATAAAAAAATCATTGGCATATGGATAATATAAATAATTATTCGGAAAGTTTAAAAAAATTCATCTTAATTAAAGATAATATTTCTTTCGAAGAAGGGCTTTTATTTTATAATGATAGAATCATCATTCCTGATAACCTAAAAAAAGGAGGTTTTGAATGTTATCCATCGAGGACATCCGGGAATAGTAGGGATGAAATCCTTATGCCGATACTATGCCTTCTGGACAAATCTTGACCGAGATGTTGGAGAATTAGTAAAAAACTGCAAAAGTTGTCAGGAAGGAAGACCGGGAGCCAGAGATGTACCATTATACAATTGGAATATTCGTACCCGACCTTAGGAAAGAATACACATTGATTTGACAGGTCCCGTGTCTGGAAAGTACTGGTTAATTTGCGTAGACGCTTTCACCAAATGGGTTGAAGTTGCAATTTTAACACATATTAATTCGACGAGTGTAATAAATAATCTGCGTAATTATTTCGCTAGATTTGGTTTACCACGTTACATTGTATCAGATAACGGTACTCAGTTTACTGGATCTGAATTCAAAACGTTTCTTTTTAAAATAATATAAAAATTTTAGATCGGCCCCTTTTAGCCCCAAGTCGAATGGTTTGGCTGAGCGCTATATACGTACGATAAAGACGCGTTTCTATGCTGGAAGGAGAAATGGGACTCCGGAACAGTTAAATTTAGCGAATGTTTTAATTACACACCGAAATACTCCAAACACAACTACCGGTAAATCCCCTGTCGAAATGATGTTTGGAAGGCCGCTCAGGACGACGTTAGATCAGTGGAAATTATCTACGAGAGAAAGGACTGAAAACGCGTTATGGAAACAAAAAAATTATAATGATAGGAACGTTGAGCCCCGTGAATTTAAAGAGAAGCAAAAAGTTTGGGTAAAAAACGAAAGGACTGCGGGATGGCATGAAGGAACAGTGGTTCAACGGAAAAGTGCGATATTGTATGATGGAGTCTGAGGGTATTGTAAAAAACAAGCATGCCGACCAACTGAGGGAAGCTCATGTACAAGCTAAAGAAACACCCATGACAATGACTGAGGATTTGGACATTGCAGAACATAATGGAAATACAACTCTAGAAAAAAGAGTTTCGAAACCCCCATTACGTTATTATGATGAATTCAATTTATAGTGGGGAGAACTGTAATGTATTTAAATAAATTGATTTTTTATATTCGCTTAAAGATATAATTTATTTACAATTTATAAAAATAGAAAAACATATATATATAGCTGTTTATATTATATTAAATCACTTTACAACTTTACAATAAACTAATCAAATCATTTCACACGTGAACAGGAATTAAAAGATAGTGTTAGCGCAATTTTAAGGCAATTATATATACGAGAGAATATATCGATGGGTACGATTTTAATCAAATCTATTATCGATTTGCACATAGGTTCATGTGTTTTATTATAGGTTAAAATATAAAGCTTTAATATTGTGTATTCTTCCTTTGGATCAGGAAGATTATAATGTAAGATAAATGGTTTAATGATATCATTATTTAAAAATTGGGGGGAGGAGGGATGTAAAGCACTTATAGCTATTAATATATCTGTGTTTTCTTGACAAAATCTTTTTTTTAATTCATTTATCATAGTATCCAAAATTGGATAAAAGACATGGCACTTATAAAAAGTTTTTGTTTGATCAGAATAATTAGGAGAAACAATATCATCTATTTGAATAGAATCATTTAAAATGGTAGTAGGTATATTTGTTCTTTTATTTGTTATTTTTATATTATATAAATTGCAGGATTTATTTACTTCAATAAATAATGAAGAAAAATAAGAATTATTTCTTAAATTTGACAAAGAAATGATAAGAGACTCGATAAGAGCCAATGCTGTTGATATGTCAGAATCTGATTTTTGTAAAAAAATAGAAATATTGGAACACATAGATAATAATTTTTGGAATATAAACATACACAAAATTGTACCATATTGTAAAAGAATATATAAAATTCCATTTGCTTTCACCATATCACCATGCTCTATATTTTCTAGATAAGAAATAATTGCAGGGAAAGTGTTTTTTACTGCCTTTATTGTTTTAATATGGGATCCCCAACGTGTAGAACTCAAGGCATCAATATTTTTGCATTTTAGCCCTAATCTTAATTGTAAATCAAGAAATTTGTTATGATGAATAATAGATATTGAGAAAAAAGCATGAATAGATTCTAATACATTAAAAAACTTTCTAGACTGAGGTAAATATTGCATGCAAAGATTAATACAAGATTGAGTTTATGTGCATAGCAGTGCACATATATAGCCATTTTGTGATTTTTGCGATATCTTTCCTGGACTCCTGAAAGATGCCCTTTCATAACACTGGCACCATCAGCTTGAGCAACGCAAATCGCATTTATAGAATTGTTAATTAAAGTTAATATCAATGTCTTTATTAATGATTCTACATCTAAGTCTACAACTTTTTCAAAAGATATAAAAGATTCCTTTGGTGTTTTTGTTTTATCAACATATCTAACACATATACTAAATTGTTCATATGAGCTAACATCACGAGTGTCATCAGCAAAATAACCTGCCTCCCTTATTTCTGAAGCTATGTACTTTAAGATTAGGTTTCCCGCTGCAGATAGCATTTGATTTTGTGATGGAAGTGAGCACTAATGAGCATTGCCTGGTGGCTTATATGCCATTAAAAATGAATCATACTCTTTCAAAGAGTTTAATATTTCACAATAATTCCCTTGATTATTGCTTGTCTTACTTTCATGATGTCCTCTAAGGGGAAGTTCTAACTTACCACATAGTATTATAATTTTGAATAATCGTTTTAAATATTCTCTTCTTTCCATTATTGCTGATTTAGTTAGAGCTACAAATTTTTCTTTAATGATCTCTTCTATTAAAGATTGTTTAAAATGGTTCCAGAGAATCACATTCGTTGCATGACCATTTGTTGCTCCGTGAGCTGTTAAGAATTCTTTTACCTTACGAAATTTTTGATAACCTATATTAAAGAGATAATTTTTTTGAGGTTGTGTTGGAAAATTACGACAAGGAAAACAAAAAATAACGTTTCTGGTAATGCTATATTCTATACAATGAAAGGATTTGTACCACTGAGGTTGAATCTTCTATCTTTCCCCAATCCAGTATAAGGATATGCACATAATATTGGTTGCATAGGTCCAGTTGTCTTAGTACCCAGATCAAGCTCTTCTGAAAAAGTAAAAATATTAATATATGAATTAAAATATCATTGCTTTTAAATTATGACAAATATATATTTGAAGAAAAATATTGTTAAAATAAAAATAATACTTGTATAAGTTCTTCTAAAAAAGTGACAAATATTAATATATAAATTAAAATAATATTTTTTTTATGAAAATTATGGCAAATATTATATATTTGAAGAAAAATATTGTTATAATGAAAAAAATACTTGTACGGTTGTCACTTATAGATTGAGCCATGTGTATAGCTTTTATTATTTTATAAATATATCTTTTATTAAATATAAATTATTTTACCTATTTTTTTCTTTTCTACTGTCCCTACATTAGTCCTCTCATCAATAAGCCTTCTTTTTTCATTAACCAAACAATCTAAATAAGATTAATTTTAAAATGTATTTCATCAAATAATTTGTTCTAATACAACTCATACCTTTATATGGATTACTGCTATCAGATTCCATGCTTATATAAAATTTTATATTTAATTATATTTAAAAAATTAATACATCCTGTGATATCTATGGATCTCACATATATTACCAGATTGACCCATAGGTTTAACTTCTATTATATAAATAAAATATTTTATATTAAATATAAATTAAATTTTTTTCTTTTCTACTGTCCCTATATTAGTCCTCTCATCAATAAGTCTTTTTTCTTCATAAACCAAACAATCTAAATAAGATTAATTTTAAAATGTATTTCATCAAAAGTAATATATTCCAATACAACTCATACCTTTATATGGATTAATGCATTCAGATTCCATGCCTATATAAAATTATATATTTAAAAAATTAATACATCCTGAGATATCTATACATTGGATCACACATATATTACCAGATTGGCCCACAGGTTTAACTTCTAATATATAAATAAAATATTTTATATTAAATATAAATTAATTTACCCATTTTTTTCTTTTCTACTGTCCTTACATTAGTCCTCTCATCAATAAGCCTTCTTTCTTTATTAATCAAACAATCTAAATAAGATTAATTTTAAAATGTATTTCATCAAATAATTTGTTCTAATACAACTCATACCTTTATATGGATTACTGCTATCAGATTCCATGCCTATATAAAATTTGATATTTAATTATATTTAAAAAATTAATACATCCTGAGATATCTATACATTGGATCTCACATATATCTACAGATTGACCCACAGGTTTATCTTTTATTATTTTATAAATAAAATATCTTAGATTATATATTAATTAATTTACCTGTCTTTCTTTTAACCTTTTTGTTTTCACAATTTATATTTTTTAGAACCACAATTAATCGTCTTTCATTATCTAAGGTTATAGTTTGAAATTAAAAAACTGTATTAAATTACTCACCACATGTTTAGTTTTTTTTTTAAATTTTGATAGATGAATTTTTCACATGCATTTTAAAGTTTAAATAGTGATTTTGAACTCGGATAATTAAAATATTAAATTTAGGGTTTTAAAATAATTAAAATAATAAAAATCAATTAAACTTCAATTTTTAATGCTAAATTGATGTTTAAACATTATGCATGGTATTGATATTCCATTTTTAATACAGAACTTGATTGCAAACTGACATAGTAAAAATATAATTTATATTAATCTAATCTCATAATTAAAATAGTAATTATTTAATAAATATCTATATAGTCTTATTAATTTTTAAATAATAATATTAATATATTACTTAATAGAATTATAAAAGAAATCGTTCTTGGGGTAATTAAAAATTTATTTTTAGTTCAAGGAGATATTAAGGAGACTTTTTTGGGGCTATTCAAATTTTTCAGGGGGCTCGAACCCCTGCCCCCCCCCCCCCTAGCGACGCCACTGTAAAATATTAAAGATATTTATTAAGTAATAAACTGCAAATGTTTATAAAATGTTTTTTATTCATCTAGTAAAAAAATAAGATTATCAATATAATATATAATAAAAATAAACCTGAAATTTATGAAATTATCATATGTTGTTATAGATCCAAACACAAAATGGCCACTACTCAATTCAATTTTTGCCACTTCGGCAGTCTATAGTATTAATGTCATTGATACAACAATATACCTATGGTAAAAACTATTGTGAACATCATATGAGTTTTTTACTTTTTATTTATGATTTATCCTTTCTATATAATTTACTATTAACAATAAATAAAGTCAATGTACCTTTTTGTGAATCCGATACTGTAAATCCTAATTTTAATTTCAGAGGTAATTGATACATTTGCTCAAAATAAAAAGATCTAAAATTTGAAGATCTTTTATTTTTTAAAAATTAAGTGTAACGATCTTCAAAGATCTAGATCTTTGTAGATCGCTGCGATCAACGATCTTCAAAGATCTTCATGATATTTATTTTTTTTATCCCTTTATTAAAAGCCCAGATGTTTTTCAATTTTATTAATATAATATTTCTTTTATGTTTTATACCTCTCCTCCTGCCTTGATGAAAATTGAAAAACATCTGGGTTTTTAATAAAGGGGTAAAAAAATAAATATCATGAAGATCTTTGAAGATCGTTACACAAAATTTTTTTAAAATAAAAGATCTCCAAATTTTACTATCTTAGAAGATCTTGCTCAAATTTTTGAGCTAGATCTCGCTCAAAAATCTTCAAAGAAGATCTTTTGTACAACTCTGATTTATACATCTATTTTCTTGAACAAAAAATATTTGGCAATTAACTTCGTTTATTTAACTTCGTAACTTTTCATCGATTCGGAAAATGCGTATAAATAAGAAAAAATATAGCCTTTATTTCTTGCTAATACGCCTGGCGTAAGTCTATCAACTCCCTAAAATAATAGTAGTTTGTAATAATATCAGAAATATACTTGTATTAAAAATTTAACTCAAAACTGTTTTTTGAAAAAGAAAAAAATAGATTTCCTAACGTAAAAAAGAAAAGAAAAGATATCAAATTTATTACATATATTGTAGGATGAATAATAAAATGATTAAATTTTTAAATATTTATAACTAAATAGATGGCGTTAAATACTTGGAAGCAAATTGTTATTATATTTATTATCAAAAGCATTTATTAGTAAATTTCATTATAATATTAGCATAACTGTCAAATAATATAAAAGTGGCATTTTATCTAATATTTTATAAACATCTGTATATAATAGAGGATTACAAACTAGTGTTGTTAAAAAACTGAGTCAAGCCGGCTTAGCCTTAAACTCAGTAGTTTTTGAGCCGAAAATTAGACTCAGACTCAAGCCGGCTTATTGAGCCGGCTGAGTTGGCTTGCTCGAGTCGGCTCAGGAGTTGGCTCAAGCCGGCTCAGGAGTTGGCTCAAGCCGGCTCAGGAGTTGGCTCAAGCCGGCTCACAAGTTGGCTCAAGCCGGCTCAGGAGTTGGCTCAAGCCGGCTCAGGAGTTGGCTCAAGCCGGCTCAGGAGTTGGCTCAAGCCGTTAGCTCAAGCCGGCTCAGGAGTTGGCTCAAGCCGGCTCAGGAGTTGGCTCAAGCCGGCTCAGGAGTTGGCTCAAGCCGGCTCAGGAGTTGGCTCAAGCCGGCTCAGGAGTTGGCTCAAGCCGGCTCAGGAGTTGGCTCAAGCCGGCTCAGGAGTTGGCTCAAGCCGGCTCAGGAGTTGGCTCAAGCCGGCTCAGGAGTTGGCTCAAGCCGGCTCAGGAGTTGGCTCAAGCCGGCTCAGGAGTTGGCTCAAGCCGGCTCAGGAGTTGGCTCAAGCCGGCTCAGGAGTTGGCTCAAGCCGGCTCAGGAGTTGGCTCAAGCCGGCTCAGGAGTTGGCTCAAGCCGGCTCACAAGTTGGCTCAAGCCGGCTCAGGAGTTGGCTCAAGCCGGCTCAGGAGTTGGCTCAAGCCGGCTCAGGAGTTGGCTCAAGCCGTTAGCTCAAGCCGAAATTTATTTATTTGTGATTAGTGTTGTTAAACGGCTGATCCAAATCCGCTTCTTGGCTTACTAGTTTTATTAAACGGCTGAGCCAAGCCGGCTTCTTGGCTGCCATGCCGGCTTATCCCTAAACTCAGTCAAATTTTGAATCGAAAATTTGTAACTCAAGCCTACTTTTAAGCCAATAATTAATTTATTTGTGATTAGTGTTGTTAAACGGTTGACCCAAGCTGGCTTCTTGGCTTATTAGTGTTGCTAAACGGTTTGGCCGTAATTTGAAGCCTTTCATTGATTTTAAATCAGTGATGTAATAATATTACTGTAAGGTATTGAATGTTTTTCCTAGGACCCTTGCAATTTATTTTACTATCTCTCAGCCAATATTATCTTTAGAAATAAAATATTATGTAAAAAAAAATAATAGCATAATTTAGGATTTGATATAGAAAACTGTTTTACGCAGGCGCACCCTACCTAAGTAATAATTACACAAATTTATACAAAATAGATTAACATTTTTTATAAAATAATCATTCCTTAAATAAAATTCTTTATAAAAAATTCTCTATAAAATCATTCTCTGTAAAATAAATCTCTATAAACGACATTCTCTATAATTGTTTTCTCTGTAAAAGTTTCTCTATAATTGTTTTCTCTGTAATGGTTTCTCTGTAATTACGCGATACCAAATATTTTCAATTATTATTTTATAAATGAAAAAAATAAATTAAACATAAAATTACAAATAAAAAGAATATTAAGTATTGTTTATAAATTTTTAAATGTGGTTTATTTTAATATTAATTATTATATCCGATAGCTGGAGAGCCGTTTGTTGGCCAGTATTTCTTAAAAAATATTTAGATATACATATAGTCCGTGCTTTGTATATTCAGATTTTAGTTTTTAAATATTATATATTTTAAGAAAATATTAAAAACAAAAAATATCTAAGATTTTTTTTTCTTTAATGCCGCTTCATCTATTTTACTTAAATACTTTTTATGTAATTTATTCAGGTAAAGAATGCATATATTTATATATTATAAATATAATAAGAAAGCAGCAGTTATAAACCTGGCAAGGGCAACCCATACATCATTAGTTTATCTCAAGTTAATAAAAATAGGAGGCTGACATGTTTGATATAAATAATTAATTTTCTCCTTTAAAATCATAAACTAATATAATAAATTATATTTATAGTCAACCCTTAGTAATATAGGAAGGGAGGGGGTTGGGAAGAAATTTAAATAAATAAATATTTTTGTAATTAAAATCAAGGGAAAAAAATGAGACAGATATCAGGTCACACCAATGAAGGATTTTACCTTCGTCAGCAGATTTCCCTGGAAGGAAATCTGCAGGTCAAATTTTATAAATATTCAAGCTTCTCTCAGATGATATGTACCCGCTTTTTTTAAAATACTTTCTCAGTTCTTTTTTATGTATTAAATTTTTTTTTCCAATTCATTTTTTTAATATATATTTTTAATTATGTTGTGTATATTTCTCATTGCGATTTAATATACAAAAAATTGTTTTATTATATTTTTAAAATTCTTGGTTAAATCTTTTCCATTTTTACTTATATACTTAATTTGATATCCAATTTTTAAAAAAAAATTTTTTGATAAAGTAAAAAATAAAATGAAGGATAAATAAAAAATTTAAGGAATAAAAATTTTTGCTAAGTATTATTTTAAATTTTCCAACCCTCCTCCCCCCACCCCACCCTAATTTCTCTTGTTTTCTTGTTCTTTAATATTATTATTTTTTAAAATTTACCAACCCCCCTAATTTCGATTGTTCATAATTATACTCCTCTTTTTTTTTAAATTTTGAACTTTTTTCCCCCCATTTTTCTTGTTATAATTTTATCTAACTTTTTATGAGCCATATTAAGCGAAAATAATGGGGGGAGAAATTTGTTTATAAAAGAAAATATTTCTTTACACAATTACTAAAAATAAATACTTCCGATTTTTTATAAAATTATTATATGAATATTTCTAAATATAATATTTATGTAATGTGTTATTTGAATAAATATAATTATTTAACCCTTCACTACATAGGTGAAAAAAACTCCCGCGGTTACATAGGTGGGGTCTATTTTACCCCAAATTTTAAATA